TGTTTGAATGCAGGACTCTGGTTTCCGTTTTGTGTTGGAGGGGAATTCAGCTCACCTGTCTACGTCACCGCTCCGGATGAGTTCACCTGTTTCGGGGCGGGGCTTCAGGTGAGCTCGGTATCAACCTGGAAGCGAAGAGGAGCTGAAGGAGAGTCATGATGAGCTGAATGTTGGACCAACCCGGATTCACCTGAAGGCTACTCGTTTGGCAGTTTTGAACATTTCATTTGATTTTTTGACTTTCTGTGTGGAGTTTAAGTTCCTCTGAGGGTCTACCTGCTCACCTGTCTGCTCACCTGTCTGCCTCTCCCGGAGGACTCTGGTCACCATGAGGACTCTACCTGTCGCGCTGCTCCTTGTTTCCCTTCTAACAGGTAAATATCAGGATTTGTTTGAACCTTCTGACTTCCTGTACAGAGAACAGGAAGTCAGCTGAAACTCTTTCTGAACAAATGTTTGTTTGTTTATCTGACCTACAGGTGCAGGTATCGGTCACGTGAGCAGAGTTAGTTTATCAGAAATAATCAGAATGAGCTCCTTGTTTAACTTATTTAAAGCCTGACATGAGTTTAAGTCTCAAACAGATGTCATGTTCTTTACTTATAACAACAACAATAATAAGAAAACAATAAAAACATAATTATTTGTTAGTTTTCTAGTTAAATGATGAATTTAAAGATGAAGAGCTGATGTTTGGGTTGAACCAGCAGGTTGTTGGTTGTGCAGCTGAAGTAAAGCTGGTTTCAGGTGAAGTTTCACAGTAAAAGCTTTCCTGTCTCTGGTTGGTTCTGCTGGTTTTTCTGGTTCTGCTTCTTTTCTTTGAGGAGAATCCAACCTTTGTCCTCATCAAACAGTCAAATATTTTTTATTTCCGTTCAATTTAATGATTATTTCATACAACAAATTAAAAGCTTCATCAACAAATAAAATATCAGGTTACTTACAGATGTGACCAGATGTTTACATACAGCAGATAAGAAACTCACAAAATCATTTTCTCTGAAATGAAACCAGAATAAAACTTTTCTGCTTTGAGTCTCTCAGGATTCAGTTTGTTTCACTTCATTCTGTTGTTTTCTTTTGCTGATTTTTGTTATTATTCTGCTACCTTTACTGTCCTCTGTTTGTGCTTTTGGTTAGCCCTTTTATATTTTTATTTCACCTTTTGCTACTGATAGTT